TCAAATTAAAGCTGCCACGTGAATTTTTCCTATGTGCCACGTGTATTCATACAACCATGGCACGCACCCGGGGTAACCATGTTATACGCTGATCATTCAAATTAATGGGGTGGTCTTAACCATTAGTTCCCAAACCCATTAAGAGAGAGCGATATAGCCTTAACATTACTCTAACACGGACCCTGCGAAACCTATCTCCTTACTCAATCTCCCTTTGAATTGTGTTTTGCAGGAATATGATTTCTTTGAAATGAATTGTCAAGCAAATGCACTGTAGTAATTTTTCAACCGTGAAATTTTGTCAAAAGATGTGTAACCTTTCTACGTTTATGCATGAGTTGCGTCTCTAATGATACATGCATAGAGTCGTCTAATAACAGATGGATTGGTGCACCGCCCTGTAATGTGCGTTATTTGTATGTACAAGTGACTGAATAATTAGAAGATTAAGAATATGCATGTTAGGTTACTGGGCAAAATGATACCTCTTATAAGCATAAAGACTGCACAAAACCCGATCTTTACGCACAAAAGAAACGCGTAAAGATACCATTTTGGCTCTCTTTCAGTTTCTTTATGTCATATTTACGGACACTTCAATGTTGCATTTACGCCAGCAAACCCGGCAAAATTGCTACGAGGTCAACCATGCCTTGAAACTATATTAACTGTGGATTCGTATTTTCCAGACCTTGATAAGCTAGAATTCCAGATCATGAACGGTTAGTGCCCTTTTCTTTTACACCCCTACAGCTCTACCGGGCAATTGGTGAAGCGATACCTTTTTCATTACGTACGAATCTGTCCATGTCATTCCTGTAAAGTGCATGGCCTACCGAGATATAAAGGGATTCAATAACGCAATTTTATCAGCAATAGGACGTCACCACGTTGGCACAATATCATGGAAGTTTACGACGCCATCCCTTCCCTCATAACCTGAGGGTACGAAGACGGCGTGAAATAAACTTATTAAATGTACAGGCACCCGGAATAGCTGTTTATCTGCGTAGTACATGTAGCTGGAATAAGGAATCCATCACCTGGATAGCATACAACGCAATATTGTACGACATTCAACATTACTTTTAGTATTTTACTGTGTGAAAGATACAAGTCATAACATGGACAACTTCCAACTTTCTAAACATTTAATGAAATGTCACAAAAAACGTTTTGAGTTCCGTGACCGTTACATTGGGAGAATTACTATGTTAATTGCATTGTGGAAATATGGTTTAATATGATTGGCATGTGAGTGACATTTTCAAGTGTATTCGATTTTACGCCAGCGTCACGAAAACGTACGTAGGTGTTCAAAGAACATCCACAAGGACGAATGAAGATGAATAGGAAAACATCAAAACCTTGTATGCATTTCAAAGGCAGCTTGATCTAGATCTATGAGCAAATATATGTACGATATCAAATTAACAACAAGGAATATCCTTCATTAGGACTTAATGAGATCTTACAAGGTAAAAAAAGAAACAATTAAGACATGGGTCTGTACATTGAGACTTCTATGCCTGGTTTTATTACATCAATGCTCTAGACAACGGAGCTATGTCAGAAGAAGAATTTGAAGCGATTAAATTTCTGTTATAGGTTGTCTGGCTATGATATACATCAAAAGATAGATGCTCGGAACATGAGACGTCAGAACCTCCTGTACCCTTGTGAGGACAGAAATGGAAATCGTACTTTTATGATTAATAGCTTTTCTCGAAAGGGGACGTCTCTTCTCAGCGGCTGTGATGGGCTGAGTGCTCCGTGGGCATTAGCCCAGCCTGCCCGTTAGAGAACACAATTACGTACACGGTGATAGCATAGGAAAGTACGCAGTCGACATCGGAGGGAGGAATGTCCACGGGAAACCAATGGGAAGTGGTTAATCTCATCATGGTTATGTTATGGGGCTTTCGAGACAACAAGGCTAGGTACAGACAGACAAAATGGCAATCACTGTCTTTAAGGTCCGTACCAACTTATGGCAATCACTCTAGATCTTTATTTGTAATCAGGTACAGATTCATGTACAGACATATTCATCTACAGATACAGATTTATGTACGGATATACAGATACAGATTTTCCGAGTATGATGACCGTGTCGGTACCTATACCTGAGTGAGGAGGGTTGACACGGTGGCCTTCGCGTGGGTTTGTTTAAGGTGGATAACAGGTTGCGAATGTGAGACCCACACACTTCCGTACCAACCAACACTGCACAAAAACCTGCGTAAAGGCTCCGTATCTTCACTCATGTGTACTTTCCGCATGCTTTAAGGCATGTTTGAAGATACCAGTTCGCGCAACGCAATATTGCCCACGCCTTTTGTATGTCTGGCATGGGTTTGAAAGGTCATGAGTCCGATTTCAAGCATTTCCGGCCAGATTGGGGAAGGCATTTACTCGACTTTCATCACTCCTCCTGGTGCAGATGTGTACGAACTTCGGTACACTTGGGAGAAGAGACTGAGGTATGGATCCCATTCCATGGCACCGTGTTGACGATGCAAGGGATTAAAAACCCACTGTCCCTACATTGCCCCTAGGCCATGGGACCTTTACTTTTAGCAATAGTGCTGAGACTGTCATAAAACTAGCCTGAAGGCATGCGTTGTATGCAAGAAGGATACTGTCAGAGGACTGCACACTGATTCGGAATATACATTCAATCATGCGGTAGTTCTGCCTTCAGGATATTACCGAGAATTTGCTTGATAGAACAGCCCGTTATTACGACTTTTGTGCAATATAGTGCCGAGAATGTCATCAGTCTAGATCAGGGTCACAATGCAGTGGATGGTATGAAACTACTGTCAGAGGACATACACCACCAAATGCACCAAATGTAGTTCTGCCTTCGGGACTAGTTGCTTCCAATAACAGTGTATTATTCGGACTTCCTTGCAGCAGTGCCGGCAATGTCATCAAACTAGCCCGGGGTCACACGACATTGGGTTCATTGTGAACGGTAAGACTGGTGTCAGAGGACAGAGCGCTGATTTGAACTGCCAATGTACTTCTTCTGCCTTCGGGAAATTACTGAGTCAGACGATTTCCTTTCAAGAACAGTCTATTGTTAAGAGTACTGTGGAATCTTGCTGAATGGCATCAAACTAGCTTGAGGTCGCCAAACATTAGGTTCAAGGTGTGGCGAGACGACTTGTTGAGGGGAAATGAATACGTTACGCAGTGACTCTAACAGCCGTGTGAATGATTCCATCCAACCTCATACATATAAATGAGTAATAGATACCCTGGTTACCACCGTGAGACATTAGTAGTTGACCATGCGAGCAAAAAGGGCGGTCCTCGACACTGACTGTAACCAGGCCTGTCAATGAAAAGGCAGTTTATGAATCTGGCAAAAGGAAGGGCTCTAGGAACTTACAACGGAACGGATACGTGAAGACTTGTCAAGCACTGAAAGCAAATGTACTGTCAGATTCTGAGCGTGGATTTGCCGTCAGCAGACATTGCGTTTTCATAAAAGCAACATAACATGTACGGTTGGGCTGCCTCTCCGATGTGGAAGCACTCATATAACAGATGAATTGATGTACTGGCCTGTTGGGCAGCGTTCGCACAGAAATGTCTTACAAATGACTGCTCGGCCCGAAGATAAAATACATTTCAGTGCACTGGGTGGAAGAACAAGCGTTAAGCAGGAATTGGAAGGGCTGCACACCGCATTGCTGACGAGTCGACCATGCCAGGAAACCAAATTGAGTGTGGCGGACTTTATATTTCCTCTTGTAAAACGAAGCAATAGTTTTGTCACATTTCCAGATTATGAACACTCCAAACTTCCCGTAACGACAGTTGTACGAGCAAGTTTAGGACAGAAGTCTGGTTTTATTAGTGCTGTATCAGCCTTCCTCATTCCCTCAGAGTGCGTGGTCTGGCCTGATAAGGGGTTCCAATAGAGCTATTTCATCAGGAATAACAGGTTGGCAATTTGGTACAACATCATAAAGGTCATAACACTATCATCGCATAAAGCCATTCCTTATAACCAGGCTCCGGGAAGACGGTGTGAAATAAATTCCTTAAGGGTATTGGCAACCGGCATATTGGTTTAGCGGCAGAGTGGTCGTTTGGTTATTCATCAAGCGGTCTGGAGTGGATACCATGCATGTAGTCACGGTAGGTTTCTGTACTTCCGTCAAAACAACTACTGACATTCATCAAGCAAAGATCCATTCAAACTAACGAAAATTACCACCAACAGAAATGTCATTTAAAGTGAAGAATCGACTGGCCATGCGAATCAGATGATGAAATTTCATAATTGCAAACTTCTTTGTAAAACATAATTTTTGAAATGATGGACGCATGATTGACGGTTTGGTTTATACTCAATTTTACGCCGGTGTCACTCAAAGCAACTTACACTTATTCTTATGGAAATGTTTCATACATGATTCGAATGAAAGGAAGATGAACAGTGGAACGTATACCGACAAAACGTACATGTTTACCATGACCAAAATAAGCTTTGACAATACCTATGCCTACCTAATACATAATGCAAACATCTTTCTGACAAGAAGATGCAATTTTCTTCCCACTTTAATCTAGAGTATCTTTGATCATCACTGAAATACTGAAATTTTGAAGACGCCGAAAAGTCGGCCCGCGATCCTTGATCTGCCATCAAAATGCTGATCATCAGACGGATTCACAAAGACACGTAGGCGCGAACATCCGTCAGAGTTTCATAGGAAATCAGATGTTCAAAGACCATGTCCGCAACGTCTTTTTTTCCTCAGTAGATTCTCATCCAAAGCAAATGAGCGAGGCGAGCTCGACGATGAGTACGGTATCGTGGAGGATTTACAAGCTGACGACAAAAAAGTGTTTCCATAATCACCCGGCTCTCCGGCCGAAACATGAAATATGATTTGACAGATGAAAGGCGTGGGGAAGAGTTTTCCCAGCATCCTTTGCGCGCGCATTAGAGTGTGGTCCAACCGCATCGGAGATTGTAAGGTAGAGTGGCGAACCGTGAGGATGTCTACATTAACGCTCGGCTGAAGTGATCGTAAAGCGGCAATTCGGCATGAGACAGAGTAGGAATCTTGCTTAAGGTGGGGTGTGAAGACTCTTCCTTGATTGATACACACATGATGTTAGTAAGGGCTCAGGTTTCCATCAGTCCGGAACATCTCTACTGATGCAGGCTGCTGCCTGGATAGAAGTAGACTTCTCTTCGCGAGCAAGCGGTAACATACCAGGGTGAGTTTTAAAGTGACTTCATTTTCATTTGTAGATGAAGTTGGTATTTGTGAAATATTAGATCGCTTGTCCGGTACCATCCTGTTAAGTCGCGATGATGAGAAATATTGGTATACTAGTATATTGGTGGTGAGAAATATCGGTATCTACCGATAGTCATAGTCCCTGACACTAAAGATGAGTATAGAAAAAGGTTAAAATGAAGGTGACTATACTTTCTCTAAACGTTTATTCAAGTTAACATCATATGACTTATTATTTATGGTCCCAGCTACTCATGGTAATTACTTCTTTAATGATTGGACATCATAACACAGTGGAAAATGTTTGTGTTCAGTATTGTTGTCCCGAAGTGTTGTCAGTCTATAAAAACATTTTCTGTTGTTTTTGTCCATACAGGACTTCACATAACGGTCAGCGCAGATCCTACCACCATGAACAACACAACATTTCCCTTCGCCCACAACGTGACTTACGGCCAGTACAGATATATAGGTTTACCCCCAAATCTCAAACAATCAGTCCCCGTAACAGTCGTATTTGTCAGCTGTTTCTCACTCATATTCCTGATAAGTCTAGCCGGAAATCTGCTGGTTTGCCTCGTGGTGGTCAAAGATCGCAGCCTCCGAAACGTCACCAACTATTTTGTGGTCAACCTTGCCATCAGCGACCTTCTGGTCACCCTGCTCGCCATGCCTGTGACACTCGTGAGTGACATCCTCTTCGGGTGAGTGATCGATGTTACTTGTCACCCTTTTGTAGGTAAAAGTGATTGATCTAGGTGATGGCGCCTGTCGTCGTTGACTGATGAGTAGACGTGAGGACATAAGGACACTTCTTGTGTGTCCTCGTGTGCGGGCACAGTTCAGTTCCTGAGCTTACCTTACCATAGATCTATCCGTATCTGTCATGATAACCGACATGCATAAATGCCCTTCGGCGTAACACACCAGCTTCGCAGCCACGCGGCGCGGCGGCAGCTGGCTATATTACAAAGAACGAATACGTAAAATTGATTCATATAAAACCAATGCTAAGCTACAAGTATTGTCCGGAAAATCGTTAGAGGTTCGTGTCACTTGATTGTAGACCGGCAAAACATATCGCGTAGGTGGCATCTTTATGTACCCATGCCTACCGTTTAATATTGCCACATACAAAGCAATACACAAAGTGTATGTTCCTGTACAATCTGATGTAGCCCCATCTGCTGATTTTTCATACCCCGGTAATCTTATTTATTCCCATCCGTTCTTGTTTTGAAGAATCACACATTGATGTTCTTGTAGGTGTGTCTATAAGATCATATCTATTCCCACCTGCAATATCCTTTCATGAGGTGAGGTGAGGTCTTACATAGATTTGATTGTGGTCAATACCTAATAGATATTTTGCTATCTGCCTCTCTTGTGCAACTTCAGTGGTTCAACTCACAGCTATGAATCCAATGAGCTTTTGACCGTCTGACACCGTCCTTTGCTAACTTGAGAAACATTACAGAATCATCGCTGCTTGAGCAAGTCTCTTCTTACATAGCCCCAGTACGTAGCCCCAGGGAATGATTTACATGTAGTGTATGACTACTTCCCAGTAAAGAAAGTAAAATTTCAGATCTGTACGCCCCGTCAAACTAAGTCATGGCCCTCATGTCTCCTGTGCTCTTTGCGGACCACCAGGCAATGGCACTGGCAGCTGGAATCACAGCATGAACGGCTGTGGCACCCAAATATGGACGGTCTGTCACTGCACATTACACGGCCATGTATGCAGTCGCCAGGGGGTCATAATCTACGGAATACGTTTCTTTGGATTGTCGGATACATTTTAAACCTAACCTGTCTCATTGGCAATTACTCTTTTCTTTCAATTCTCATGACTCGGTAGTAGTCCTTTCTGTCCACCTTCCATTAATTCCCTTACAGTATAACGCAAATGCGTCCCGAAACGATTTTGTGCCATTTGGTTCTTTTAACAATTGGGACTCAAAAGTAGTATTTTTGTGCTTTTTATGCTATATAATGCCGCTAATGCATCAAATTGATTCCCTGAAATTAATTCCCGGAACTTTCTGACCCAGACGTTTCAATGCAATAGAGAAACCATTCAAATACGATACTGAAGCTTAGCAAACCGCAACCTCAGCGCTTCTGGCCGTCTTCCAAAAGTGATGTCTTGCAAACGGTGATAGTGAATCGGGCCTCGTAGACAAATCAATCATAAAGTTAAGTGATAATACGTTCAAGGCATTTATGCTTCCTTTATAATTGATTTAGCTCCGAGGCGCGTTACCTAACCACCATTCAACAATGATTTGACAATACGATGTTGTCACCATTCAGGAACTAATGTGTGTCATTACTGTTCTTCTTATCTGCCAAGTACTCTTCTTTCCATCTGGATAGACCTTACCAAGATAAAAGTGATTTCAACGATGTCGAAATGCGTAATCATTTCAACTGCAAACGAAGATACTTTCTTTAACTTTCAGAACGATTGGGAATGTCAGACGGTGGTGCAAGCTTGGATGCTTCCATCGAAGCTAGAGGATACCATAGAACAAACTGTCTATCCATGTTTCATCTCACCTTCCACGATGTCAAATACGTTTTTGAAAAACACGCCTACTTCATATGAGGCTATCCAGTTTTGTTGGGATGGAAGTCATGCTTGACTAGCTTGTCATCTGCTAAAATTGTTATCATCCCGGTATAACCTTTCGGCAGACATGCACTGATGCTCAGGGCGAATCTAACAAATTACTTTCTCATTAAGTCCCTATTATTGCAAACAGCTGGTAGTGTATGTATTAATCTGGCTGCATCTCAGGAACAGAATCTTGATGAGTTGGGGAGGGTAGATTTTTGATAAGCTATTTTTCAAGTCATTTTCTCTGACGTATGTCTATATGGTGGGTGTTCGTATTGAATCCTGAGAAGGTTGCCAGTAAAGGTCATCCAGGCCTTACCATCTCGGACACACAAGAACTGGCGGAGGTGGGTAAGCTTCATAACAAATGCCTCCTGCAAACCATGCGATTTAAGATTATCCTTCAGATACACTTACTGTGCCAAACCACGAGTGTTTGATAATAAGAAGATTTGATATGGTTGATTGGGTCACGACTACCAATAACAATGAATCATTACATAAACATTAAACACGCAGACAGGATCTAGCTATAATCTCATAATCGACGTCACTTTTATTGAGTTGCAGTTTACATATTCAAGCAAGAGGCTACAATGCCCGACGACGTCACTTCTTTTTAAGTTGTTCGAAGGTTTCCTGCTGGTGTCAAATTTTGTGCAAAAGTATTTTGAGATATTTAGGCAGACTTTACATATTATACGTATCGCTGATGTTTTGTACAAATGTTCCTGACTGAGAAAGTTATGATCTTATATTAGTTCAGCCAACTTTAAGGTCCCGTCTTGATATATGAAAATACTTGTGTTAACAGTGCGAGGTCAATGTACTACCCATATTGTTGTAATTCCAGTCTTTACAAACCAATTCCAGGAGGAAGTAGATTTAGCACTGAAGCAGATGCGGCTGGGAAAAGCTCCAGGGTTGGACGGTTTACCTGTAGAGTTGTGGAAACTGCCGAAGGTCAGTGAGCATCTCACCTTCTTCTGCAACCAAACTATGGCAGGTCACAGACCACCAGAGTGGGGACTTTCAGGTATAGTACCTATCCCCAAGAAGGGAAACCTTACCCTCCCTGATAACTACAGGGGCATTTCTCTGTCCCAAGTGGCAGCTAAAGTGTACAATCGGCTCCTGCTAAATAGACTCCGTCCTGTGATTGACAAACTTTTGCGCCCAAATCAGAATGGCTTCAGGCCTTCACGCTCTACCTCGGCCCAGATTCTCGCTTTCCGCCGAATCGTTGAAGAAGTTCGAAACCACCAGAAGGAAGCTGTCCTTATCTTCATCGATTTTAAGAAAGCATTTGACTCGATCAATCGTGACACCATGTTTAAGATCCTACAGGCATACGGTGTTCCTCTGCAGATTGTCAACGCAATTAAGATTATGTATGACAACACTAAGGCTACTGTCCTCACACCCGAGGGAGAAACAGACACCTTTAACATCAATACAGGCGTCTTGCAGGGTGACCCCCTTGCTCCGTTTCTTTTCATTGTTGTGTTAGACTACGCCTTACGTAGAGCAGTAAGAACTCATGACGGCATTACTTTAAAGAGAAGACAGAGCTCGCGTCACCCAGCAGTGGTGCTACCTGACCTTGACTCTGCTGACGATATTTGTCTTCTAGAAGACACTATCAAAGCTGCTCAAGAGTTTCTGTACAGGGTAGAGCATGCCACACAGGATATTGGACTTTATTTAAATGCACTTAAGACTAAATTTATGCACCTTAACCCTCCAACAAGGCCCCAGGCCTTGCTGTCTAGTGATGGCTCTACTATTGAGCAAGTGGATGACTTTAAATACCTTGGCAGTTATGGTAACACAGTCCATGATGTGAAATGTAGGATTGGGCAAGCTTGGGGGGCTTCTAATGCCCTAACAAAAGTGTGGAAATCCCCAATAGCCAACTCTACCAAGCTAAAAGTCTTTAAAACCTGCGTTGAGTCAATCCTGCTCTACGGAGCTGACTCGTGGTCTCTGACAGCATCCTTGTGTAAACTTCTGGATGGGAACTACACCCGCCTGCTTCGTGCAGCCCTTAACATTTCATGGAGGAGTCACGTGACCAACATCCAACTTTATGGAAATATGCCTCGGATTACAACAGTCATCCGCAACCGTAGGCTGTCGCTGGCTGGCCATGTCATGCGACACGACGAAATGGCAGGGTTGGTACTTCTCTGGTCACCAACAGAAAAGCGGAGACGCGGTCGCCCTTCTTTAACTCTGAAGAAGGTGATAGAGGGGGACATAGGGCTGGGCGGTGCTGAACTGTCCTCTGTCATGCGCGACAGGAACTTGTGGAGGCAGTACATCGTGTCACCTGATTGAAGGATGAACTGAACTGAAACTGAACTGAACAAACCAATACATTTTTCCTATCTACTAACAATAGTTTCCTATTATCAACCTAAACTATTTTAATTCTTCCTAATTTCTCCGCATTTGCAGACGAAAACTACTTTCCTTCTAATATAACAGAACTCTCTCATTAGTATTGTTGAAATTATTAAACCCAATATTAACATTCTAAACGTCGGAATGTCTCACATGCTCATATTGTAACTGTCTTCTTTTATTGTATCAATCTTGCTGCAATTCTCTTCGTAGCGACATTCGAAACCCAGGAGAAATGGGAGAGATTAACAATTACGCAAATAAAGATGTTCAGAATACCAAAACGATCTATACATAAATTATTTGAAATGATTACTCCATTAAGCAGGCGGTACAGCTTAATCATCAAGGCAATTTGTTTGGTATTAAGATCAGTGTCTGGAAATTCATGCAACAAAACGTGCTATCAAACGCATCATTTGTCAAGGCAACAATTGAGCATTCAGAAAACTGGGGAGAAGGAGGTGGCGAGGCTTACACAGTCACCTTCTTCAGTCTGTGTTACATCCTGTGTTAAGATCAGTGTCTGGAAATTCATGCAACAAAACGTGCTATCAAACGCACCATTCGTCAAGGCAACTGTTGAGCGCCATGCCTGTCACGTTGAAGTGAGCGTAGGCGCGCTTTAGCTTTTCTGATGTGGTCGTTGAGTTCAGTTCCTGCCTAGATAATGGACGCCTGAATTCCTTTTTTCAGGCCAAATTTGCACATCTTACGAAGACATCAAAGAAATCAGTACGTCTGGCCGAGTCGAAAAGGCACGACGAATTTTTGCACATCAAATCAACGAGACATCTTCAAAGGAAGCGGATCGCTTCCCGTCTTGTCAAATGTTTCGAGCATGCATTACAGATAGTCTTAAACGTTGTGGCGTTCAAAAACTTTCTCTTGAAGGTCTCGCTGTGTCTCATTAGCAGGGTAAGACAGATGGTAGAGATATTTTTATCTCTTTATTTGATTCCCTTGCCATTAATTAATGTCAACGTACAACATGTCTATCACACTGGGATTGCTTAACTGACTGAAACACTTCTCGGTTCCCTCGTATAGTTTCCTCACTGGACACATTACCACTTGCAAATGGTGTCATTTTTACATTTGTCTTTATTGGTGTAAGTTCTAGCAGCTGGCTCGTATTAAAAATGTAAAATAAAAATCCATCATCAGGTCTTGGTCGTATAAAAAGGCCAAGTCCAACTGTGACGAAATATCCTTTAAAAGCATCCCAGATGTCCTAAACCATAAAGTAAGCATATATTGATGCCTCGAGCTAACAAAGGTACTTTAAAAATACTTGCTGTGAGCAAAAATGTATGCCTATGATTGATAGTCTCCAATCAAATATCCAAATCTGTAAAGTTGTACCTAGAATAAAGCCCCATGTTCCATTATGATAGCATTTTAAGTAAGTGAAACGCAACTTAACTGCACAAACATTTAGACTACACTTTGCTTGCTTGTAGTTTCCAGTATGCATAGTAACAGTATCCGTATCTGTATCTGTATAACCGGTATAACCGCCCTTCGGCGTAACACACCAGCTTCGCAGGCACGCGGCGTGGCGGCAGCTAGCTTTATTACACCGAACGACTTGTTACACACAACCTTTGCACATTTAATTGCAGGAGTACTAGCTGTTTAAAGCTTTCTAGTGATGATGAGTAATGCCCCAATTGTACTTGGTCGCAACGAGTTCCACTCTACGACAGTTCTTGGAAAGTGTTTTTAATATTTGAGCTGTTTAACTGTTAAACACATTTTTTCTTTCTTCTTCAGGTTGGCGGCTTGGAGAAGTAGTTTGTCAACTGACACCGTTACAGGGTCTGTCATTGGCCGCGTCCATCCTAACACTTGTCGCTATAGCTGCTGATAGGTAGGTAGCATTTCCACATTAAGATATATACGATATTATATTCGCGTATAAAAATCATTTCATAACGTCTTGAGTTATGTTGCTTACCCACCAATGCACCAAAAACCTAATATAGTAACTTTCTTGGCAAAGGTAATCAACATGCCTCTGGCGGACTGCTTATCAAATAATATACAGACGATTCAATACAGGTCTGCCAGGGTAACTCAGTTATCACAAACCTGTCAAATGGAAGAATCTTGCTGCCGCTTCGAATTAACGCAGATCTGAATGATGCCAATAGGCTCTTTATTGTTCGAAACTTTGTATAATCTGCCCAATGATCTTAATGTTATTCCCTACTTGGTTTCAATATTGATGAATAGTGAATGAAAATCGGTGGGTGTTTCAAGTACAAAGAGCAATTCACATGCATTGTAGTGTAAAATTGACCTTGGCAATATGTGGAAGAAATTATCATTAGTTGACATGTACCGTAAGGAAGAAAGGTTATTCGCTTGGCATAATAATTGATGATATTCTTGTGGCTAAAAACTTGATGTGCCAGCAAACTCAGCTCCAACACCCCAAGTTGCACGTCCAAAGTTGAGTGCTCTGATACATTAAGTCCCGGTCTTGCTGTCCGTTCCACAGATACAGAGCAGTGATTTACCCCACCGCACGGAAACTCAGACCCTGCGAGGCTTTCGCGATCATCGGGCTGGTCTGGATGCTGTCTATCGTCACCATGGTACCACATGCTCTGGTAAATCTTCTCACAATATTCACATGCAGTTTCACAGCAATTATTGTTCTCATGTCACATTCTATTGCTAATATCTACATGTTTCTAACTACCAAAATCATTTCCAAACGACTATTGAATGTTTGCTGTCTACCAATCCTCATCATAATTTTTTAGATACACACTGGTCAACGGCCAATACAGGTCGAATGATTAAGTATGTGAAGCTTATGTCTTTGGATGCAGGCATTACGAGAAGTTACCCAGTACAGTACTACATAATATATGAATACATCATACCGTAGTTACTAGAATTAAGAACGATCTTCTCTGTAGGTCATGCAGCTGAAGAAGTATATATTCAATGACGGTGACGTGATCATTTACGTGTGCGGAGAGAACTGGGGAGAAGGCGGCCGCGAGGCGTACACGGTCACCTTCTTTAGCCTGTGTTACATCCTGCCACTGGTCGTCATCGCGGTCCTGTACGTGCGGATCAGCCTGCGGATCAGCCACCAGCCCAACCTCTTCGGCCTGAGCCACAACAGGAACCCGGGCATCTCCGCGCAGAAGCTGGAGGTCATCAAGATGCTGGTGGTGGTGGTGATCCTGTTCACCGTGTGCTGGATGCCGTACCACGTGGTGCTGTTCGTGACGGAGTTCGGGGATCTGTCCGGCGAGCAGGAGAACGCCGTGCTGGTGTACGCCTACCCGATCGTCCGCTGGCTCGGCTACTGCAACAGCTGCATGAACCCCATCGTCTACGGCTACTGCAACAAGAACTTCCGCAAGGGGTTCAAGAACGTGTTCAGAGTCGTGCGTCCGCAGGAGAATACCGACATCCTGGTGGTGGAACCTGCCACGGAGCTCACCACGCGGAGTGCTCGAAGAGCGAGGATGTCCGCTCTGGTTATACCGGTTGATGATGTGGACGGTTCTCAGTCACAGACCAACGTTCAGCCAGCGTCCTACACGAGCAGATGCTAAACACGTTGCTAATTTGCAAAGGAGCGCTAGTTTGCGAAGGTATACAGTTGTAAATTGTAAAGAAGAAAGGCCCTAAGAATATAGATAGGAAATGACAAAAAAGAGGTAAGATAAAAGAAGAAGAAGAGAAAATTGTACATGCATATGATTTTTCGGTATCACTGCTTCTAAATGCCCCTATCTAGCCACCAAAATGCTCAGGTTGGTGGCCATATAATTAAACTATTTTCGCTCAACATTAAGCAATCATTGACAAAGTGGCATAATGTTCATCAAATTCTTTTATTGTAGGTCAAAACTACGAGCGATTGAACCCTATCATGTTGAGGAAATGCGAATCAAATGAACCACACATAAACTCCAGTATATAACTGCAATAACAGAGGAGGTGCTTCTTGTAAAGGTTTAAAAAAGATATAAACTGTTGTAGGGGACATATTGTGACAAAATTATGATAGTAAACATATGAGAAAGACGTGGATATGTATCCAGATGTAACTACGTGTTCTAAACGAACCACCTTTGTCCACCTGAAGGTTACTGGAGGTCTGGCATTTATGGTTAGTTAACCTGGATCGCTACGTGTGAAATTTCATACTTACAAGGCTTACATGAGTTGGGAGACCGTAACTGCCGAATGAATTGTCAATGAACCCACCAAAGTGTGTTCGGCAGAAGTGTACAAAACAGGATTTAAGCCTAATAGACTTTAGTAGTTGTTGCATAACGTTACCTGTGAGGGAATTAGGATGCAAAGTGCGAGAATATGACTATACCTGTACTGTAGGTTTAACTCTCTCCAACATATTAGATTGTGTTATTATATATGTATACATGTACTGTACTGTTGTACATGTACTGTTGACTGTACTTAAACGTTGACAGTTGTACTGTGAAGATTAATGAGAAAACCATATCAAGGCATTTTAGAACCAGCTACAGGGGGCTGATGTAATATACATGACTGTAGTATTGTGTGACACTTGTGCGTCACTTTTAGATCATGTTTTAGGTGGTTTACTCTAGCTTTAAGAACAATTATCGATGTGTATTGACTTTGAAATTATACCTGAAGTTGATGATTCATTATTAGTGTTAACGTTGCGACTTTTATGCTGTGTAATCATGTTTGGTGGTTCTGGCGTTATACGGCGTACAACAGAAATAGTGTTAGTTGTGGTCGATATCGATGATAAATTTGATGTATTAACAAAATTATATCCAGGATTTCCCCTAATTAGACGTATCGTGGTTCTATATCGAGAAGAGAAGCAGGAAATCATGATTCCCCCAGGAATCTTTGAAAACCGCCATACAGGCGACATGTATATCCTGGATAAATAAATAAACAAATAAACAAGTAGAATATGTTTAGATACATATCATGTTAGTTGACTAAAAAGTGCATTATTATGTTAGTTGACTAGTACAAGCTCAATGATGTGGGATTTTATTGAGCTGTGACGAGTGATATTGTCAATGTACGGTGTCTATAGTGATAGGTGGCTCGGTATGAAAAATACATGTCAAGATCATTTTGTGTACGAACAATATATATCATATCTTTCCATGGATACATATATATGTGTACTAGTATGTAAGTACTTGTTGAGTATTGTTTACAGTCGATATGTTGTTCTTCTAATGATGTTGCCAATTGTAATTATGAAAAGGTTATTTCATGCAAGACTTTGTTCAGTTCTGTTCAGTACGTATAATCGTCTCTGTTTCTATGCTGTGCACAATCATAAGTAAATATTGTTGAATATTGAATATTGTTAATTTGTGGTAAGGCTTGATTGGATGTCTTGTGACGCGCACTAGAGTATAGACAGGAAATGTTGCATTGTAATAAGGGGAAAACAACTGTTTTCAAGTTATAATTTCAAACAAGAATCTATCATATCATCTCATGCAAAACAATATAAATGGGCTACATGCAACTTGTGAAACTAATCTTTGTGGATTAGATTATATATACATACATGTCTACTGTCAGTACTTATTCTGACGTAATTATAATTCGTAAACGTACATGTATATTGGTGAATAATGCGTAACGTACAACATCACGTATTAAACAGTGTCACGTCCAAAATGAAATATTGGATGGAAACATGCATTTCTGACGAAGTCAACACTTAAAGTAAACAACTTGTGATAGCGTTATGAAGACGTACTACATACTGTGGTTGTACTGGCAAGAGCTCTTATGTCTATGAAGTATGTGACTATGTATCTGATAGTAAATACGTATGTAGTATATGTACTCCAGGACGAAGAAATTAAACACATTATTATAATGTGATTCTGATGTAGTTTTTTCTGTTGTATAAAAGGGTTTATAGAAAGATTACATATTGTTTAGGCTCCAAGTTAGTATTCAGACTTTGAATTATGAGTTTAAAATTAACAACAGCAAAAACTTATTAATCAAAAACATAACTAGAAAGGTACCATTTGCAGTGCAAATGCATAATGTTTACCTTCGCAGATGGCCTGATCTGTTAATTCTTACTCAAACATAGTCATATATATGGTCAGACAGAAGTCTAAATCCCTCTTGCTAAAATTGCAACATGATGTAACCCAACACTAGTTACCATGGTAACAGACACAACATTGGTTCAGGTCATTGAGGTTACTGTTTGGAGAAGAAGAAGAAACTTAGCAAAAGCAATATGTTTTATAGCCTGTACGAGACAGGAGTAAATAGGCAGACCTAGAGGGAAGCATAACCTTCCTGGTAAATGTACGTTCTGCAATCATCATATGTGGAGAAAATGACCAACACTAAAAGTCTTGATTTATTTAAAATAAATGTGCAGATTTAGCCGAAAGCACAACCCTAACGCTCGCTAGTTCACATGTGTGATACAAATGGCTGAAAGCTTTCAAATAAACTTCAGCCATGATAAATTCACAGATGTTGCCTGAAACATATTAACCTTTCGAGCAAATGAAGGCACAGTCGGAAACGCAAGCTTTCTATAAAATGTAGGTTCTCGAAACCAAACGCGTTACGAAAATTGCCAAGACTAAAAGCTCTTGATTTATTCTCAATAGATTTACAGACGTGGCCGGAAACCTTTCTGGCAAATGTACGTTCTCCAATTCACGTGTGTGATAAAAATGACTGTGGCTAAAAGCACTAACGTCAGACTGAAGTGAGCGGTGAGTGCTTAAGTACAGGCAAACTACCGGTACTTTTCTTACGACCAACGTCGTCGGCGAAGCCAAGGGGCCTCGACTGTCAATCACTACGCAAATGAGTTACTCTGAAGTCTTTCTTCTAGGTCTAAAAATATTTGAGTCTGCGATCTTAACTGGATGTTACAATAGCCAAGAAATGCGTACACGACGTCGTGTGACGTTAGATACTGAAGTAGGTTTGAATTTGATATTTTCTCTTGACAGTCTTGACAAGATTTTAATTGAAATCTCTGGAATTTGAAATTGTCTGACCATTTTCTAAACGGTCTATACTTATGTTACCCCAATTGCATGCAATTCAACATTCAATTCTTCAAATTTTGTCTGAATATTGATGTGCTCGGGTGAACTGCTGGCCCTTTGCTCATCTTAATCAAGGCTTGTCAGCTTTTAATACAATAAACTACGATACACGGCTTGCAGGTATTCAACTTTTATCATTCAATTATCGTGTACGGCCATTAGCTATGAAATATATCACTCCGAATACATTACAAATGACATTTATTGCACGTTATTACGGTTATATATGTGGAAGAATATATCGTTATTGAAGTCACCTTCAAATAAGTATAACCATAAGGCATGTTCCTTGTACTGACAACATTACGCACGCATATCTTACTTTTCCATCCGCTCCATTTTCTTACTACCACGCAAATGTCCCTCCAGACATTTCCAAAATTGTAACAAGAACCCGCTTTTGACTGACTGCATAGGAGATTCGTTTCTGCAAAAAGTGCCGAACTGGTATCTATATTTGCGGCACAGTTGATAAAAAAAATCTTTTGAAAATAGCAGTCAAACATTAGCCGAGAGCGTAGTTGTAAAGACGTGGGAGGTTTGAAATTCTAGCGGCAAAGCTGGCCTTGCCCGCCGCCCGGATATTGAAAGGCGACGCGTGGCGCTGATCTGATAGATGAAAGTCCTAACATAATGATCTACATGAAAGACTTGCAGGGAAGGGGGTAATAGACCCGGTCTAGATCATCTCTTTTCTCGGCATGACACTGATCGTGAGGTCTTCTGACATGGAATAAATACAGTAACTCTCTACATGGGAAAGGAAAAAATCGCATGAGGGAAATGGTGCGTAAACAACGTCGTTGAGATTGCCAAAATATCTGGATTGGATCTGTTAAGTAGATTACTGATGGATATAGTCGTTTTGTTTCCGTTATTATACTAGTCATCAGCATAAATCGAGTAGGCATAAAGTTTAATGCAGTTATGTTCACAATACGTCAAGACCCATGCCCTTGCTTCAATGTACGTCGTTGTGGCGATTCAATTGCGTGCCCGCGCCCCAGACATTAAGGCAGAACGTTGAAGTACTAAGATAGGAATCATTTCAACACAAACCGAATGTAGTAAAATCCCAGCATTCAGAAGCAATTTTCTGATATCATCTCCGGATTACTTGTGACATTTTGAAGCTTTCATATTGACTGTCAAAAGCAATAAAGATTTGTTTTCCATTTATAGCTGGCAATGGACATCCATAAGACCTCAGCATGTAATTTTTATGGATGACATCAGCGCGCGCATTGATATTCGCGTGATTGTGGAAAAAGATTGTTGCCCTCTGAGGGTGGTCAACAAGCCGAAAATTTGTCATAGCCGTCTATCGGATCTATTCATAAAATCTACTTGCTGTGGCCTAAACAATAAGGAATGATCCACAACACACAATGAGTTAAAACTGAAATTACCTTCACATTAGCTATATGTTAGCAGTATCTAAATTTAAAAAGAAATACGCATCATTCTACTGCATGAGGCAATGTCACTATGATCATCCAGAGTGGCCATGGAAAGTCCTCTTTTCATATTTAAGAAGTGATCCATGGTCTGTCGTACATGTAAAGATGCAACACCACGCTAGGTGGCGCTTGTGCTTTGGTTTCTGTTTTTCTGTTACTCATATCTTTCTCCTTCACAACGATTTGGCCAACGTGTTCGGCGATATTCAAGTTAACTTATCCCCAGGGGACGGATCATCAGGGGGCCAAAATCACTGTGACAACGGAAAAACATTCCAATAACAGTAGTGTTGCGCCTCGGGTCTGCTGCAGCGTGGGCTTGAAACCCTGGAGGAACAACCTCTGCCGTAGGTTTGCTATCAGCATGCAAAAAATCAGAAAGAACTGAATAAAGAGACTCTTAAGCTTTTACACAACCAAGTGTTTTGTTCAGCCGACGTTTCGGTGAGTGTCTGTCACCTTCCTCAGGGCAATTCTGACTGGTTCATATTGCACTACAGCACAGGTGAATAAAATAATTGGTTGTGTAAAAGATATACAGCTATAGATCAAAGACTTCAAAGACAAGAAAACACACAGCCACTTGTAAGAATTTATGTTCGCTCAATCAGTCTCCGCCTCAGTGGAAAGGGAATAGATTAAGTTAGTTAGGGCCAGCTGCTCACATACGTTGTTTTTTAATTTATATATTCCCGACACTTCATGACTAGACATGGTAACGGTACACTCAAGTTATATCAACTTATTTTTATGCCGCCACCAACGCAAAGGACGAATACAGGACAAGACA